ACCATTTTAACGTAGTCACTGGGTGAAATCACTATGCCGATATTGGCGAAATTCTATTCGAATTATTGAATCGGTTATTTTTAATTGAATGAATTGTTAAAGCGGTACTCTGTTTTTCCAGCTTAAAAAATAATTTTTTTCTTTCACATTCTCGTTGTTTAAGGCTTTTAAAATATTTCCACTAAATTGTATAAAAAATATTTTTAAATTGTCAAAGTTATAATTGTTTCTATCACAGGTTATATCGTTAAATTGATTAACAACGACACTTTAACCCTAGAAAAAGCACGTGCTGCACGAAGTTGAATACCTAGTGTCAATACGAATCGAAATGTCCTTTTCCATTTCTCGATACGAGGCTTCGTTCTGGAGATATTGGCAGTCAAAGTTTCCACGCGCGCGAACACATGGGCACGAGCCGAGTGCGCGCGACCGCTTAGTCTCGTGCGGGTGCGCGCGAGCGCATAGTCACGTGCGGGAGCACGCGCGCGCAACCGAGAGGTAAACAATCGCGGATACGCATGGCCCGAGTCGAGAGTCCCATCGGTGAAACTCAATCGCTTATATCTCGGTAACAAATTATCGAATCAGAAAATGGTAAAGGACTTACTGTTTTCTTATTACACGAGTAATTGATCTTGAAGGGTCTTGCATTTTTATTATTATTTTGGATAGTAAAATTAAGGGATTACGTCTTTTTTCTCTTACCGGTATCGAAACAATATTCATGATATTTTTTCAGCTAACGTAAGTGATATAAACTTTTGAAATTTGTTATGTTTACTTATACATGTATAAACAAAATTCCGTTGAATTTGCAACCGTCCATATTAATATATGGCCTATCCATCTTCAATTTGTCGTTTATAACCAGGTTGGAACGTTCTTATCAAAGTATCTTCTCGATTCATTTTATAGTATTTTTATGACACTAAAAGTGATGTTCGACGGATCCCTGAAGGTCGTATGCTGCGCGTCCCTGATACCCGCGATAGCATTCGTTGGCCTCAAATTAAATGAGCATCGTTACGGGTGCCAGCGATTTTTTGGCACCCGGTGCGAGCAGATTTCCGGTCCATGGGGAAGTTCCTCGAATAAAGTAGAAAGGCGGGAGAAAAAGGACGACGAAAAAGGTGGAAGCTTCGCAAGCAGTCGCTTCCCCTACCCATCCCTTATTGTCAGAGGGTAAGCGTAGCGCCAGAAGCCTCTCTTGGATACGGACAAAAGTTTCCTGGCCTGCTGCTAAGGTTTCTCGCCTTTCCGAAAATTCGACGGTTCTATGGGCCGAGGGGATAAATGATGTACCGCGATATCGAGGGATAATCGCGCGTCGACGAGAGAAATCGTGAATGCGAATCGTGGAGATATCGCAGTCCAAACGATCCGGTGCGAACTTCGCGGGTTATTCTCGATGACAGAGATAATGCCAAACACAAACTATATTGTCCTAACGAGAAGATATTTCCCGTGGCCATTTACACGTAGGGAAAACTACGTTAAAATAAATAACGACTGTGTATTCGCGTTATTAACAACGAAGAGAAACTAAAACATATTTAAATTTCATGTAAATTTACTTTTAAACGTGATTTAATTTCAGCTTCTGCGGAGAAGTGACGGGTGAACCTGTCCGCCATAAAATTAAAACAACAAAAACATCACAGTTGTAATACAAACGTGATGGATTTATATCTACACATGTCTCGTGTGCACAGCCTTCACATATATCACACTAGATTCAGTCTTCATAAAAAATTACGCCATGCACAACACATTTGGTTTCAACCCAAAATTAAAAGTATAGGATTTTATCTGCAATGTAACACTAACGCCTGTAAAAACGTCAAAATTAATATCATAAAATAGCAGTAAATTTACTTTTTTTCTCTTCTCTAACAATTATCCAAAAAACTCGACGAAACTAGTGCTTGTCGTTCGTCACTTAACGCCAACAACACCTCTGCGTCAATCCTTCGGTAGGATATCGACGAGTCGAAGTGCGAAATTCATTCTTATCCGAAGATTGAACCGGTGAGAAAAGGAGCTAGGCGCGATTTAACGAGACTTCAGAATTCATTTCGCGGCGTAGATTGAAAAGCTGCTTTCGCAGGGGAAATTGAAACGCTCTCGTGTACTCGTTATACCTCAACGAGCGACTCAAAGGAAAATAAACGAGGGAATTATCCAAATTTACACGCCACTCCGTTGCTCCGCGTTATCGTTCCGCGTGTCGACGAAAAGGCTCGCAGACAGGTCATCGTCGAGACGATCCTGCATCCACCCGTCGCTGGGGCTACATTTTCACTTGGTTCAGCGTCGAGTCACGTCACTTCGTATCATTGAAAGCCGCCGACAAACTTCAGAGACTCAAAGGCAACGTACAGAGTTCGATTGACCCTCGGCTCCCCTCGATGTCCACGATTTCACTCTGAGCAGATAAAATTGGAGTTTGCCAGAATTCACACCTAGGCAGGTGGAAGAACGTAGAGAGGAGCAAAAGTTCAACGTAGTTTACACACTCATTCTCTTGGCGAGATGTCTTGAACGTGTTAGTAGGTTCTAATGAGGAAATTGGACGTACAAGTAATCTTTTTTATTCGATTATCCTCTATCTAGATAAGTTAAAAATGTCATTGAATGGTCTCAAAGTAATCAGGAACTCTGATTAAAATAAAATTCTGACAAATTTCTGACAAAAATAAAATTGCGCCTAGCTAAAATTCACAATATTCACAATATTCGTAATATTGATACACTAGATCACAAATCATCTCAATTCTTACACATTTAAGGTAGGTGCTGAATCTAATTTTCATAGCGAAACCTTAACGAACACATAACCGACCGAACTTGAGTGAACACATAATTGACAGCGTTCATGATATCATCTACGTCTCGATGAGTCGCACGTCTCACGTGACGTGACGTGTTCTTAACTTCAGAAATTGAGTTGCAACGATTGCGTTCGATCGGTCACGTTTCACCTCGAGCTCCTCCCGATATCCATAGTCTCACGCAGATAAAATTGCAACCTGCCAAAGTTCACACCGCCGAGGAGAACAAATAACGTCATCGCTGACATGAGAAAAGATTCAATATATTTGAGAAATTCGATCCCCCTGGTGAAATATTGGCGAACTATCTGTAACGATTAACGTTATGGTTCTAAAGCTGAAACTTGACATGAATTCGATCTCGTTCCTAGAATCACCTGGGTACCGATGTGTGGCACGTGTCACGTCACATTTGCTGCTAGTATAGTTCATTCCTTTGACCCAGATAAAATTGTAGTTTGCTAGAGTTCACATCTTTGGACACATAGAAATAGAGGAACGCTTTCACAGGTAGATCTTTAATAAATATTAAGGTCTCAGACTAAATTCTCATTGTGAACCCTGGAAGCAATGTCTCTAATTTATCGCAAGGATACAAAAACGATACAAATCGTGATTTAAGGTAATTCACACGCCGATGGGTCACACGTGCCACGTTACATTGTCTACTGGTTTGACACCAAGGCTACCTTGACATTTAACCTTTCACTCCACGCAGGTAAAACTGCTGCTCGCTAGAATTCACCCTTATAGATGCACGGAGACAGAAAACGGTACCTCGGGTGATAGTAAAGATTCAACGTAGTGACGACGTTCAATCCCCCTGGTAGATCCTCGCCTGTCTCGATCGCGTCACTAGGTTATAACGCGAAAACTGCACTATTTCATCACGATTCTAGGATCCTAAGTATAGTTGCGATATTCGCTACCCGTGAAACCTTGACGACCTGTCTAGAGTCAATAAATTCTAACCATGCACGTTATCGAATCCCTGGGATAATTTACGAGTTGTCGAATTACACGTGTCATCGAACGCTTTCGACAAACTTCAGAAACCCACTGGTCCCGTCCTCGATAGAGTCTCCCTCCACGTCTCAGCTTCCACGACAGAGCCTCAGCGGCTCCACTCGAAACAGAAACAAACTGCAGCTCATCAAAGTTCACACCTCCAGGCACACGGGTACGGGAAACGTTATTCCAGTTAGGACGCCTTTAAACATTCAATCCCCATGGCGGAACCGTGGCGAGCTGTCCCTAGTTTCCCAACACGGAAACTGCACGCGTAACTAATCACGTTGCTGAGATCATCTACATGCCGATGAGCCCGCGCGTGTCGCGTCACGTTGCCTACTGGGCATGTTTGACCCTCAGCTTCCGGAGTTACGTAGATGAATTTCCAGCTCGCCAGAATACACACCTCCAAGCACGCGGGGGCGAATAACTCTATTCCAAACAGGATGGGTTAGATTTGGTCAGATATAACTCAAGCGTGGGACTGAATTCTCGATTGTTGAATGCGTCTTCAGGTTCTAACGTGAAAACTGCAGAAAGATCGGAAGACGATCTACATGCTGATGAATCACACGTGTTCTGGCGCACTCAACACCCGGCGTCCCTTTACTCAATGCAGGCAAAATTGCAGCTCGCCAAAGTTTACACCTCGAGGTACACCAAAACAGATAACGCTTTTCGAGACACACAATCTTTAAAATTTAACGAATATGTGACATTTAATCCTCGCGATGGAACCTTGGCGAACTTTTTCAAACGTATCACCAGGTTCGAACGCGAAAAGTGCACTTTGAATCGTCCTTACATGCTGATGAGTCACGCGTGTCACGTCATCAGCTGTAACACTCGACGCTCGAAATCCATCAATCAAATATCAACGACTTCACTCGCAGACAAAATTGCAGCTCGCCAGAGTTCTCACCTCCCGATCCACCAAAACTGACAACCATTTCTAAAACACACCATCCTCCGAAATCAATCCTAATCGCAAGATTTGATCCACGCGAGGTAGCCCTGGCGAGCTGTCCTGTATATCACTAGGCTTTGGGATCGTCTGCGATGAGTCACACGTGTCACTGGACCATCCCCGTACGTTTCCAAGGACCGGTGTCGTTATCGAGACGAGTTAATGACGCTAAGAGCTTCATCACTGACCTTCCACGATGGCTGGACGGGCGAGGAGCAGCTGCGCGACGAAGTAAATCGCTGACACGGGAATGCGGTTCAGCAACATCCATCTAGGCTTGGCTTGACACCGCGACGAAGAAGAACGATTCGCGCCGGAATCTCGGAGCGGACTGGCACACAAGCGGTCTACCCGGCTCGCCAGCGACGAGACTGAAACGAGAGGGTGAGAAAGGGGATGGCGCGGAGGGGGTGATCGAGTCCCCCGTTAGGGGGAAAGAGAGAGAGATGGCATCCTTTCTCGATTGCCGTGAGCTTTAGGGTTGGTTCGCATGCGCCCGTCCGGGTTCACGTGCCCTCCGCCATCGCGAACCATAGGACCCGCCTTCCTCATACGAAAGACACGTTCTCAGGATAGGAAAAAACACACGTAGACACGGGTTCCGCCGTTGCTCCAAGGAATCCAACCGCGAAAGTCCCCCTTAGGACTGATAGACGGTCGAGAAAGCTCTGGGCTACCCCTTCGACTGGCCAGGCGTTCCGACGCGCAGCTTGTTTTGATGACACTTTGATATTTACGTGACCGCCGGTTCTCTTTCTTTTCTGGTCGATTGATAATGGACGAGGCGCGAACGATACGTTAGGTGTGATTGAATACACGCTCCTTTCGTCGACCAGGCTGTGAAACGTGTTCGCGTACGTCTTTCCTTAACCCATTCACTGCCAACTATGAGATGTCTCGTAATTCAAATTGATTGGAATTATTTAAGGTATAAGTGTCTTGAATTAAAAAATGCAAGGATCTTTTACGAAGAGAATATGTATGTTGTGTGTTCTGTTTTATACCTCAGGTGCAAATTAATATAAATTGAATGTGAATTAAATTTGGAGCAGATCCCTGTTTGTGAATGTATATGTATGTCAACCTCAATTACAAAAACCTCAGAATAGGAAGACACTTTACTTTGTTTTGCAATGTACCAAATAATTTTTATGGCACCTTCGGGAAAGTAACAACATAGATTTAACTATGAGAACACTAAAGAGAGACGATTTATTAACTTGACGTTTCCCTGTAAATTCTACAGCGAAGGCTTCCTTCACCTAATCGTTTCATGCATGAAACAGTTTCCGTATCGTCGCAATTAGAGACAATAATGAGGTGACCTGTATTAGATGGGTCACCCTATGCATTGTATTCTAAGTAATAAATCACTTTGCGTGCACAATCGATCACTTTCGTTGAAAATAAATTAGCATAATTTGTAGCAGGTCTATGTATTAATATATTCGTAAATGATGAATGACGTCTATGTTCCTCGATAGGCCACGTCATTTATATTTGAATGATGGCCACTACTACCTAACAATATGTGTCATCCAGAATGCAAATAAAATCAGATTTAATAGCATGGCTTCTTGCGAATATGGGGGAGCACTATGTGCATTATAATGAGAGCTATAAATCTGTGGCCATCAGGAAAAAGGTCAGTTATGCATAGAAATTTACAAATCTTTAGTGCCAGGACTATGTCTGCGTTGTTTCCCAGTGACGTTCCTGTGAAATTGGTTTGGCACGCAATGAGTTAATTAATTCTGTTTCTTAAAGTAAACATTCGAGTTCTACGCTAAAAGATCAAGAAGAATATTACGTTAAGTGGGATTAAATGTCAGTGGGGTAATTGAATATTTCAGTCTTGTGAATACCAGGAGATTATTTTCCAGGAGGAAAACATGTAAGAATATTCATACACAATTTATTTACATCGCTAATAAATTTATACATGAATTTCTTTGAGAAACGCAGAATATCCAGAACGTAATATTCGTATTTTAATTGCAATATATATTTAACGGATCAATTCCAAGACTGACTCTAATTAATCACTCCTACACGCGCAGAAAAATACAATTCGAGCAACGTCAAGAAAGTTTCTAGATTTATACCGAACCGAAATAGCTTGAAATCACTTTTTGGTCGAGCGGTGAAAAAGATTATCCACTTTTCCTTGTCAGATGGTTAGATTAGGTTCGTGATTCAGATTCGCGGGACCCGATGGAACGTACAGGGAGTGCTTTAACAGTCTGCCGATCGATCAGTCGATATCTCTAATCATTGGTTCCTTTCGATGAAGGAATGTAACGGCTGGAGACGGGAAAATGTTCTCGAATTCAAATTTTACAGAATATATCGGGTGTGAATGTACTATGAAATAAACAACGATTCGACTTATGCTAATTACACAAATGTAATTCAATTTAATACAAAAAGCTTTGTTTTTAATTATTCTCCTGTAACACATTTTCTAGTTGTCAATCCTGACCAGTATGTACCACAATTTTAGCACGCAAAAGTTTTAGAACATATTCTTCGCCGTCCATTGTGTCTTTTATTTGCAAATTAACGTTAAACTTTAATTTTTCTCTGATCAACGTAGATTGCATTTTTCTACACTAAAGGCTTAATCCAGAGGTTACAAATATTACTTGAAAAAAAAAATAATAGTACCGACTACAGGCACTTTTAATCCTTTACTATTTTTCTACATGTTATCAAACACGCTCCACTGTATTTTCAACCCCTTACTCGCGGAACCGTATGGTAAAAAACTCGGAGTGCCCCAGTTGGTAGAACTATAGTTTTGGTCGATAATAACTCAAAAACATGGATGCGTGGTACTATACGCGAGACCGTTCGCTTCGAAACGATAGAAAACTCGCCTTTAAACTCTGACGGGCGAGCTCTGCTCTAAAGGAGGGGTTGGAAGTCATCTGAAAAAGGTTTCAGGAAGAGTTTAAGCGTTTCACGTCTTTCGAGAACGTGGCATGCGAAGTAGTGCAAGTCATAAACCCAACCCACCGACTGGGGCTAGTATTCGTAACAGACATTATAGTACCTACATCGCACTATTTCGAAGAATGACTTTAAGTGCGAGTGTACCAAAAGTTTCGCAAGGGTGTCCTCGTAAACCGGTAAGAGATGGCTTCAAGGTGACGGCAGGAAGCAAAACGTGTTTCTAACTCCTCTGCTCCCCCCCCCCCCCCCCACCGCCGATTTGTCTCTCTTTCACCCCCGTATTATCTCTGTTTGACTCTGCGCTGTTTCCACGCTACCCTCGGTATGTTTCTTTCTCCCCTCGCTTGCTTTCATTGGCGAGCTAAAGTCGACGAGATTTCCACTACGCAAACGTACGTCACACGTTTAGACATCTTCACGTGCGCCAACACAGATGCACGTTGCTTTGGTTAATGTCAGGAATTGTAGGAAAAAAATGTTGTTCATTTGTTAATACTGTTGGTCAGCTTTTTATTTATGCTGTGATGGTCAGAGTATATCGAATAAAAAATTGTAAGTAGGAGTGATAATTTTTAAATGACACAAAAATAGAATGTATGATCAATATCGTACAAATTATCTATTGTGATTTGTGTTGAGAAGTCTTGGAAGCCTATGGAAATAATACATATTTATTTTCTCAAGTTTAGTTTCGATAACCGTTATCTTTATTTGTATAGGTAAATGTAAATCTTGTCTCCTACAATAGAGGAAGACCAAACATCAATGTTGCAGACATTTTTTTAATATTTGAGGTGCGATACATCCCAGAACTGATCATATTTTGCAAATCACCATTAGAATAACAAATGGGTCCAATAAAGGAGTAATAATATATATATTTAATAAAATTATATCATAATTGATGCGCAATAAAGAATGTATAACCGAAACACATGAAGAATAGAAGATGTGAAAATATATAAAACTTAGTGGAAAGTATCATTAAAAATTAAACTGTTTAAATGAACCATCTCAATTATTCGATCCACAGTATTATGCAGACAAACTGGAAGTGCTGAAATAGAATTCAATACAAAATTAATTAACGTAACTGTATTAGCACGTGCAGCTGTGAAACCGGTGAAGCCGTGAAAGTAGTTGACAGGTGCAGGTAGATGAATGTTACAACCGCAACAGAAATAGTTTCATCCCGTGTTGTTAATAATTCGTACACTATTATCGACCTATGAACATCGACACCAGCGAAGAACGCAAAGTTTCAAACTCCATATACAAAATGCAAATCGCCAAGTGTCGATCAATCAGTAAGACGACATTATTCATTCATTTGCAGACTGTTATTAATTATTCCTAGTTTGTGAAATATCCTCTGATGGAAAATTCCTTCCGATGCAAATAAAGCTACACGATTTGTCGGCTAAAATGTCAGCAGATATCAGGTTTTCTTTCCCTCGCTCGTGAATTTAATACATCTTTTCGGTGGTGATTGCCAGGAAATATGCGTTTAAGTTTACACCAACTGCGCGTACTGAAATTCATAGTACCGTTCCAATGCTGTAATAGAAACGCTCGAGATAACGTTTCGCATTAGAGGGGAAAAAAGTGCTCCACGAGGAAACCGTTATCTTAGGTACGGGGGCCATTTTAAGATCTACCGTGGATCTATATTCAGGCGTGCATCTTCAGAATTTCAGATGGAAAGGCGTCATACATTAAGCATTCCGCGATCAATGAGAGAACCCACACATTGTGCTGGTTCCTTAAAAGAATTAGCGTTCTCCCTTGGTCAAATAAAATCCCTTCCGCTGAATTCTATCTGCGACTTCGATTTCAAATTCCTACGCGTTTCATTTTCAGCAAAGTTTCGTCGAAGATTCCAGGAAAAATCGCGACTGACTTTCAACTTTAGTAATATTTGAAGCTGCAGCGAGTCTGTAACACTTTCCTAAATTTTTGTCGCGCAGGACCAAACTTTGTAAAATTTTATTATTTTGCTGTTAGATATTCTGAGGTCATTTATTTTTAGTTGTACGTAATGAAAGTCAGTTGATCTACAATTACGAAAAGTTAGTATTCATCCTATGAAGTGACTAGAAAGTATATTGCAAACATTTCTAGATTTATAAACAATGGCATCCAACGTTGATGTAAACTGTATACAATGGAATAATAAAACCGTGTCTTGCTATAAATTGTCAGTACACATTTTTCTTATCTTATACAAATATTTTGTGCACTTATGTACGTTATAAGTAGTAGAAGTGATGAAATAGTCAGACATTCCTTGTGTCAGACACAAACATCGTCATAATTTTTAAGTATTAAGAAACTTTGTGAACTTATATTTCTGAAGATCATATTGAAACAGTAAATCCAAATTTAAACTAAATAATAACTTTGTTCGA